TATTTTATTATTTATTATTTATAATTATAATTATTATTATTATTATTATTATTATTATTATCACCATTATGTACCATTATAACTACAATTACCATTATCTCCATTATAACAATCATAACAAAAATAATAACTATCATCATTATCATATTATTAATATTATAATAGTCATCATTATTATTATCATTATTATTATTATTATTATCATTATTATAATTATTACGATTATTGTTGTTGTTATAGTATAATAACCACCATAGCAACAAGATTATTACAGTTATGAGATCATTTTTATATCCTATGGTCATCACAATGAATACGGTACTATTTTACATAATGATTAGATAATCTATCTATCTTTTTAAGGTTACTTCAATGGAGCATTACGATGCAAGGAGAATTCACAGAGAGCATATCTTACTAATAATAACCAGCACATTCGGAAATGGCAATCCTCCTGAAAATGCAAAGGCACGTAGTAACTATAGCGAATTATGCCAATGTCGTTATACACTTCATGTTATTACTCTAATCATGCTCTAATCATTACTTCAACACCTAACACATACTCAGCCTATAATCTTAAAGCTATTTTCCAACCCCACTGGCGTTCGGACTTCCTGGTACCCACATATACTCTTAAGACAATGTGGATAAAGGGCCTAGCTCAAAAGGACATATAAGTAGTCAGGTCTCTATCTATTCTTACTGCTATTCACACCAAAATAAAAGTTCAACAAGCACTTAGTTTCACCTGAATAGCTATGGACTTAAGCAACGCTGGGCCTGGTTAATATTTGGATGGGAGACGGTTTCGGAAACAATGGGTGCTGTTAGACCTAATAGTGTGAGTTAAGTGATTGACCGGTATAACATAAATGCTACTATCTGTTAATATGAAACGATATTGTTTAATACTGTATATATCTTACATAATGCTCTTATGTATTTATTGATCTCAGAATTTTGCACGTCAACTGTCGTTACTGGCAAAATCTTACAAAGATGGTACGAATGATATTAAGGAAAGTTTTAGTAATGTAAGGTAAATAGATCACTAAATGTTAAGGCTTTCTCTAATAATGATGATGTTATATTTGTGAAGACCTTGATAAAGCTCATATTTGTGGTAGTAATAGTGTATTACGTACAAGTAAACATGTAGACGTTTCTATAAATACGCAGTTTAAGACGCCATATATGCATCGTAATGTATTCGCTAAATAGCACTATACATTCTTGAATGCTTACTTAGATTTGCAGTATTTGGTCTTGGATCTCGTGCTTATCAAACGTATTGTAAATTCGCTCACGATGTCCATCAGCATCTCACTGAAATTGGCGCATACAGTATACAAAAAGTTGGCGAGGGTGACGAAATGTGCAAGCAAGCAGAGTCCTTTCAGATTTGGGCTCAAGAAGTGGTGAAGGTTTGTAAAAAATACCAACTTTATTCATTTCATTATAAACAATAGACATTCGAAAAATGATTTTATTGTTACAATTAAAAGTAAAGGGTTAAAATTAGAGAAATTACATGAAAGATACTAAAGTTACAGAAGGAAGGTTTCCACAGAAGCCGTTGGAGCTTGCAACAATGTGATAATTGTTACATTCGAGCTCCAATAACTTAATTGAATAACGTAGCTTTGGTTCAAGTTACTTAAAGTATGTTAAATTAGTTTAAATTTGATTCGTAAAGCATTTGCTGGTCATACAATGAAATTATTAGAAAAAAAACTTGTAGTAGCAGTCCTATCTTTTATCACAAGGCCTATGACAAATTCAAACAACGAAAATGTTCATAAATAGATGTCCTTAGAGGTGCTTACTCTATGTTGTTGTTTTTGATAACCGAATGCCAATTTCTGTTATGTTTTATTCCGGAATTATTGTAGGGTAAGTCTGTTATACAGTAGTATAAATAGAATTTTCTTTATTTAAACCTTTTGTTCATTCCTTGATTGATAATTTGTAGTAACTATAGATTGAATTAAAGGATAGAATAGGAGTATTTTTGGTGTGAATCACACCAAGACTTGTTTCCAGTCGGGTCCTTCTGGTGGTGAATTTGGCAGACACCGGGAGAGAATCCTCTACTCTTTTCCAAAGAGTATACCTTCGTTCTTTAACGTGCACATCACAGGACCAACGGCTTGAACGCCTATTGATAGGTAAAACGGGCTAATGACAAATATAATAAAGAATGGGAAGAAGAAAATTGAATCTTCTGGATTTCCTGAATATGGTGAATTACTTTGTACTTTTAATTATGATATATTATGGGATTCCATAATAAATTTAATATGAATTATAATTTACAGTGCTGTAAGCTGGTAGTTATTAGCAGAATGCAACATACAAGCAAAGTAAGTAATGTGTTTCTGATTTTTTTTTTTAGACCATTTGTGCTACAAGTGGCAAGGATGACAAAACAAAGTTACTAAAATCACTAAATGGCATGATAAAATATCCAGAATGGAATCCAAAAGAATATCGTATTGTGAAAAGCCACCATGCAGAACCAAACCTGATAAAATCTCTGTCTATTATCCACCAGAAGAAGATGACACCATATCGTTTGCTGTCAAAGGAAGAGTTGCAATCGGCGAAATCAAGGTAAATTTCCAGACGTTTGGAAGAAACAAGTTCAAAAAGTTAACACTGCAGTAAAACATGTTTCACATCATTGACAGATCTACAGCACTCTTGTGCAAAAAAAAAAAGAAAATCAAAAATGGAAAAAAAAGAAAGGAAAAGTTTAGACCTACCCCGTTTCAGGACCCGTCAGCTGATTTTTTTTATTACAATGGGAAAATTAAAAGTCAGGGAAGCTCGCCATCTAGGAATCAAGAATCTTCCCGGGGAGGTCGACACCCCGACCCCGTTGCTTTTTCGGGTTCATCGATTCATGGACAAAAGAATATGTGTGCAACTATTCAATTTTTTTTCTGTATATATACTGGTATGCACATAATAAGCCTATTTACTGTAATGAGAATGAGATTTACCTGATTGGTTTTTAAAGTCATTAAACGACACCTCAGAAGTCACGAAAGCCCATTTCCTGGGAGAGGACTTCCTTCCCTAAATTTGAACCCAGATCCGCACCTACACTTGTTCCACCATACTTGCGATCAGCAGCAGATGATAGCTGTACGTCCATATTGGATCTCACCTAAGCCAACATCGTATATACTGTATCAATTTCTAAAACGCCCTGTTGACATTTAGGTATCGTACTCGCTCTTATAAGCGCCGGCCCCGTCTGAATAGGCGCCTCCTTGAGAAAGCACCCCTCCTGACGTGAACATTTTCTTAAGCACCCCGTTCCAATAATCCTAGTTTAAATAAGCGCCCCCTTTTTTTAAAACAACATCAAGGGATATTTTTAGCAAGCCAATAAATCCTGGGACTGTTATTGTGCATGATTTGAGTTGCGGAGTGGATTCAAATTTTCTTCTTATGTGAATTTCACAATGAGGATATTTCTCCTGGACAGATGAGAACTCCCTGGAGAGTATTTTTCCAACTTTCTTCTTCTTACATTTGTCTAGTCCGTTTGAATAAGCACCCCTTAAAAGTCAAATGTTTACCAGTTTACAAAAAAAATACTATTTACTGATCGTTATTAATTCTCTTATCATGATAGCATTTACCCTCCATATTTCCCATTCTGTGAATTGTCTACAATAGGTCCTACAAAGACTCATTTACATAATCACAGTTAGAAATGCACCGCAGTTTTTAATGTGGAACACTTGCAATGGAGCTTTGTAATACCTGGACCTTGGATATTGTTGCTGGCCTCACAACAGCAGTAAATATAACTATGTAAACATGTGCGTCTGTGGGATAACACGTGAGGCCAGCAACAATATAAATAGTTTTTTTTTTATAAACTGGTAAACATTTGACTTCACATATTATTTCCTGTTTAATCATTATTTTGCAGCCGATCTACTCTCCTTATTCGACTGGAATCTTGTGAAGAAACACGTTTGTCCTATGTTCCGGGAGATCATATCATTGTTTTTCCTTCTAACGACAACACTCAGGTGAATAAAATCATAAGAAAAATCACAAAGCTCGATTCCATTGATGACGTCATTGAAATTGAACAAATCGGTAAATATATTATTATTATTATATATGATATATTTTTATGATATATTATTATTATTATTATTATTATTATTATTAATATTATTATTATTCTTTTGAGTGTGTCTAGTTTGGATAATATTCCTAAGCTTCCTCAGTTCATTTTTCAAACATATTATGTTGAAGTAGTATGTATTTTTGGGTGAATAAGGTCAATCTGTTTATTTATGTATGTATTTGATATATTGTGTTTTGGAGGGTCTTTAGCAGTTTCTAATTAGAATAACAATGATAAAAGACATTTGTTAAATTTGGACCACAGAACAGTTGTCTTTAATTTGAGGTGGTCCTTAATTGGAAGGAGTTTTAATTAGAGGGAAACCAGTATTTGGGAATACAAGTGTCCCTCCAATTAAAGACCCCCTCTAATTAAAGACCACCTCCAATTAAATTTTCTGTGGTTCCAATTTTAAAAAATTCATTTTCTTTATTTTTCTAATTAGAGACCAAAGCTGCTAAAAAAATGCCCAAAAATTGCATTGTTATTGCATTGTTAATTCGTTTGTGTTTGAAAATAAAAGAAATGTGATTAAATTGCTGAAAAAATTTAATCTAGAACTACTTCTTGTTTATACGTTATACAGTGCTCTAAAGACCCCTCTCTTTGACTCCATTTTATTTATTTATTTATATTTGTTGTGAACAGCCTGCAGCCCATAGTTCTTATGAGAAATTCCGCAAACTTGGCCACAATGTTCCTTTACCTAAGATCTAGAGCTGATTAAATTTTGAAGAGTCAGGGTCAAAGGTCAAGGTCACAATCAACGAAAAACTATTTTTTAAAATTTATTTGTCAACAGCCAATAGTTTTAATCACAAACTTGTCAAACTTGGTCCCATTTTTCCATGACCAAAGGTCTCAAAGTATTTTAATGTTGAACGGTAAGGGTTAAAAGTCAAGGTCTCAATCAACAAAAAACGATTTTTTTTTTAAACAGTTTTTATCAGAAATTTGTCAAAATTGTCCACAATGTTCCTTTACCAAAGATCTGGAAGTGACTAATTTTTGAAGGGTCAAGGGTCAAGAACACAATGATCGAAAGACTATGACTGTCTGCCATATGGACGTGTGTGTGGGCTTGCTGGTAAAGTGTAAACAACCGTATGATTATTAATTTCAAAGTATATGTGAAAACAGTTTGGTGTAGTGGTTAGAAGAGTGTTTTCAATACTACCAGCCCGGGTTCAAATCACAAAGAGTCTATTTGTAGGTTGTTTTTTTTAATTATTTTTTTTATGGTGACAATATGCGGGGGAAATTTATACTGAGGTGAATTATGATGTATGCATTCTCCAGGTGCCCTGTAGTTGTTTCTGTTTTTGGATTCAACGCATAAAGCCTCATTCTATCTGCGTTTTATAATTCAAGCTATTAGTAATAAATATTATTATTAAAGCGGTTGATTAATGCATGTGTTTACTCAATGATTAGGCTTACCACGTAAATTGTTCTGGTTATACAGATGCCGGCCTTAACTGGAAGAAATGCAATAGGCTTCCACCATGCTCAGTTCGGACAGCATTGACACATTTCATAGACATAAGTGCACCACCAACTCAAGAACTGCTAGCTTGTTTCGCCACGATCACCTCTGATGCCGCAGAGAAAGAGATTCTCCAACGACTCTCTAACGTAAGAAAATAATAAGCAATAAAAGAAAAACAAATTTGTTCTTTAAATGTGATGTAATAAATTCAGATTGACTTTATGGATGAGGCCTACTACTATTTCTAACTTATTTCTTCAGTAAAAGTCTATGAATGAAGCTTCATTTTGTGCTATAGACTAATTTTGACATGTTGTTATTCAAATTTCGTTGTTATATAAAAATGTATACATATTAGTGTTTTGTGTAAATTATTTATTGTATTACCTGTAATTTATTGCAGTGAACCCACCAGCACATTTCTATACATATTTTATGTAATGTTAGAAGAACCATTTTATTTAAATTTTTATATTTGGTTTTGAGAGGGATTATAACATATTAAAATTTTTTTTTCTTTCCAGGAATTCAACCTCTACAAGGAGACTCTAAAGGCTCTTGGAGATCCTTTGGTGTCTGACATCCTAAACATCTTTACCAACATAACGCTTTCTGCTCAGCTTATCTTCACCCAATTTCCGATTATTAAACCACGTTACTATTCAATCAGTTCGTGTCCATTGGCCTATAAGAGTGAGGTTCACTTGACAGTCACCATACAAGAGCATTTTCATATTAATGGTAATAATGCTTAGATCTCCTAACTGTATCTATGAAAAATCAATTTCATTTCTTATTAAAATGACAAAGGAGTTGTATCTGTACAGTGGCGGATTCAAGAATTCGAAAGAGAGGGGGCCCAGGAAGGGACTTTCACTAATAGGGTCCCACCCATCTCAGCCCCACGATCGCAGGGGTAAGGTAAGGAAAATTACGATGTTGGTACCTCTAGATCACCGGAGGTACTCTCAGACTTAAATTTGGATATAGCTGAATGTGGAATTAGATTTTTCATTAATAAACTATGAGTTATATATCATCATATTAACTTTGTGATAAAATTTTCCCATGGTCCCTAATGAAATAACATAATAATAAGGTCAAGTTGTGTGTTGCTGTGTATGTGTGTTTTTTTTTTTTATTTCTGCTATCTAAACTATCTTACACATACTTTTCAGGTTTAAAAAATAATGAACAAATTGGAAAACGCCGGTTTGGCCTGTGTTCAGGATGGTTTAGGCAAATGAAAAAGGGCAATATTGTACCGGTAGCCATCAAACGGTAGGTTGTCAAACACAAGTATTTGAATGAAAATGTACATGGTGTGTGGATTTTTTCTAATAATTAAATGAAATAATATCTCGATAAATATCATTAATTTAACACAGGTCGGAGGAATTTCATATGCCACTTAACTCCAGCTCACCAGTTATTCTGATTGGTGCTGGAGCTGGTATTGCCCCGTTTCGTGGCTTTTGGCAAAGTGAGCAGAAGGCAAGAATGTTAGGTGAGAAATGTCAATCTACGTTTACGTTGTTCTTTGGCTGTCGTCATCCTGATATTGATTATATCTACAAAGACGAGTTGTTGGCGCTGTTGCTATCAGGTGTATTAGACAGTGTTCATGTTGCATTTTCACAAAAGGATAATGGTCGTAAGGTATGGATGCGTTTCACGTATTGCTACTCATTGAAATTCATTGAACTCGCATAACTTTTAGGCAGATGCAGAATTTCCAAAACAAGATATGTGGCTACCATTTCAAAATACGCTTTAGTATAATTGAATGAACTTTCTAGAGTGTTATCAACTTAATAACCTGCTCTAAACGTTTTATTAAAAGGCTAAATCAAGCACATATCCCACAAACACGCATATTTATAGACATTTATGCTTTTAAGGTCTCACACTTTAACAATATTCAAGGCAGCAGGGATTAGCAGAAAGACCAATTTGCTATTGACAGTAGAGTAGGATTGAGGGTATGTCACCTTTATAATTCTAATTGTCTTTAGGAGTTTTTTTCCTCTACTCAGCCCCACCCATGATTATTTTCTATGATGGGAAGAAAACATTTTCAGGACATGGTACGTCAGATGCCGGAAAAAAAGTTTTTCCAATTCTATGTTGTTTTGATTTATTTGGAATCAGCATTATCAACTAAATTCAACTAAGGGTGGAGGGTGTAAGGTTAAATCGCTTCGACTGTACCCTACCTTGAATCCAGTCCTTATCCTAATATTGTATCATTAGTATAGGGTTATAAAATTAGTACTGTACTGGTATTATTGTTTTTGAATATAATTTTTCCCAACCAATAGCGCCATGTACAAAGGGAGTTACGTGAACAGTCGCTAACGGTATACAAGAAACTGATTGAAAAGGGTGGCCACGTGTACGTATGTGGTGGGACAAACATGGCAAGAGGTGTCAGGCAGACTTTGTTGGATATTCTACAAATCCATGGTCGCATGTCAACGAAAAAAGCCGAAGAAATATTACAGTGGTTGAAGGTATTGCCAAAATTTTTTATATGTTTTTTAGTAAGTTATTATTTTGAGACGATTGCTTTAATTTGTTTAATTCCTTTGATTCGCAGGACTTTTAAATCAGTAACGGTGTATAACCTAAATTTTAAATTTTTTAAGCTGTTGTTTGGGGTTTTTTTTTTTTGTTTGTTTTCTAAAAATAAATTTGAATATATAAAAAAAATATTTTTGTTTTCTTAATAGGACGAAAATCGGTATCATGAGGATATATTTGGTGTGTCGCGTTGAAAATCGTAAAGAGATATCAACACAGCGTCCGGAAATTTAGTGTAGTTGGGATAGCAAATATAACGTGATCAGTACTTACCTTTATGAAGTTCATTCGTTGGAATTTTAAGGATATATTTCAACTTATATTGTACAGTAGGATGTAAAATTAGGCTTATTATATTTGGTAAAAAAAGTTATGATACGTGCCTTATTCGATATTAGGTATGTGCACACACGATTACAAAATGTAAGACAAAATATTCATGACGTGAAAGGCTCATCGATTGTTGTCAGTTTTTCAAATATAAATATTCATTTGAAGATTTTTAAGCAAACATTTATATTTTAATTTTGCCTTTTTAATGAAAATAAAGTGCAATTCATCATTATGAACTATATAATTCACTTAAAGTATATTTTCATACCATCTTATACATATCTCCCGACTGGGAGTCCACGGTCCCCGAAAATAGGTCCGAAAACAAAACAAAAATCAAATGACATACCGGTACTGCAATTATTATAAAATATGTCATGTTATGTTGACTATGTATATAAATTTTATTAAAATTATAGAAATATACTATTTCAAATATATTATTTCTCATATAATTGCATTTTCTGTAACTTTTTTTTTAATATTAAGAATCGTTCATGAAATTGACGTCAGCTTAAACTTTTCTGCACTTTTTTAGAAGTTTTTCCAGTCTTCTACATTCTTCTTGACTAACATAACTGTTGTAACTCAACTCATAATACATCTAAACGATCGACATGATATAATAAACAATACAAATTTAAAAGAAATAAACCAAGATTTTATAAACATGTTTCTGCTGTATCACACAGTCATCTTCAGTAAACTAAAAGAACTAAAAACTTAATACGCCACGTCAGCTGATATAGTACCAGTAGTACTATAATAGTATTAAGATAATCATAAAATTATGATACAGGTAGTTTCTGAATTTTAAAAGAGTTTCTACAATGCTCTTTCGAAAATAGTTAAAATCACGTTTTCACTCTTTACTTGACCCTAAGGCAGTATGTTTCAGAGAGTTGTCGAGAGGATACAAGGTCACTTGAATTATAATTTATTTTGATGGATTGAATTGTATAACCGTTAGCTATATTTAGAAAAAAAAAACCAATGTTATGTAATTTATTGAAAATGCTGTATACATGAAGTATTTTTACTCAGATGAATGCTTCATTAAATACCACTCCAAACTATTTTCACTTGCACTATAGTATTTGTCTGAAACTCACTTCTTACACACTTGTATCGAGTTTTAATGTTATAGGAGGTGTCTGTAGTTTACAAAACACGAAGTAAATGGAACTGCTCGTAAAATTATGGTTACACTATGGAGGTTTTGCAAGCTTACAAAAACGATAACGAATACGGTTACGTCATAATTTTGTTGTCAATCCTTCCCATACATTAGCATATCTGTTACAACGTAGGCAATAAGTGACTTTTCAATGAATCAACGATCATATGCAGCTCGTACATGTATTTTTGTTAATGATTTTGGCATGAATAACGATAATCAAGATGACGTATTCGTATTCGTTATCCTTTTTCGTAAGGTTACGAATCTCCCTATTATGTAATTCAATGCGTATAGTGTTATATACACTTTTATTTTTTATTTTTTATAAGAACACATTTTATAAGAACACTGAGGCTGAAATTGCTTAAAAATTCAGAAAAAAATAAGAACAAATTGAGGCTGAGTTCAACAACCGGGGCTTTTTTTGTGAGGCAATTTTTTGCTGGGCTTTTCTTTCAGGGGCCATTTTTTGCAGGGCCGCTTTCACCTCCCAGTACAGTGTATACTGCTGTACAATAATAATTTTCCATGTTTGAAAAGTGTGTAAGATAAGATAAAAATAAGAACATTTTGAGCCTGAAATTGGCCAAAAAATAAGAACACTGAGCCTGGGCAAAATTGTACTGGTTCTTATATAAAAAAAAAAAGTGTAATCGTCTACGAGCAGACTATTATATGGGTTTGTACAAAATGCTTTCTTTTTCTTATGATGATTTTGGGCCATCGATATATCCGATGAAAAACAGCATTTTCAAATGTTCGTCAGTATTGCGCGCAATTTCTGTATTCAATTAATTCGTATTCTAGATTCATATCAAGTAAAAATGACGTTTCATTGGAGAGAATATCCGGCTTATTTACGATGTATTAAATATTGCTGAAAATGAAAATCTCCCAGGCCTGCTTTTAAATATAGATTTTGAGAAGGCATTCGATTAGGTGTCTCATTTGTACTTGGAAAAGGTGCTTCTTAAGTTTGATTTTGGCAAGGATATTGTAAGATGGGTACAAAATCATCAGTTTATGTTTTTGGTCACTTTTACATATACTGTGGATATGAAATGTAACAACAACTTGGCTATATAGTTACTCATCACTCTCATTAAAAAATTTGATCGGAATGATGACGTCATCATGACAAATTCCAATATGGTGTCCATTATCGTGGGAAAACTATGTTTTTAATATAAAAGTAATTGTATTGTTATCAAAGTACAATACAATCTCAATACAATATTATACATACAGGAATATATATATATATATAAAGAAGAAAGAAAAACAGGAAACGGAGTAGACTTTAGAACACTATTTTATTACAACATGAATATTTCGACCTGACCTCAGGTCCTCTTCAGCATGACTGAATACAAAGTTGGAACAATACAATACAATAATACGGTATCTAATAGGCGATTGGTCAGACATAATCATGATGACTTAATTATAATAACAAAAGGTATCATCGGGCCTACAAACAAGTTGATATAAACAAAAGTGAAATAATTATGGTGAATAAACAGCAGGTGGCTGTAAGGCAACTAAGGATTAAGGAAATAAATTAATGAGTAAAATGACAATAATAAAAGGCAAGAAAATATAT